ATATATATAATAATATATATATATATATATATATAAAAATATATATAATATAATATAATATATATATATATATATAATATATATATATATATATATATATATATATATAGCCAACACTCTTATATGGGTGTGAAGCTGGGGTTGTAAATTCTACAGCAAACAGGAGGCTGGAGGCAGTGGTGATGTCATGTCTAAAGGCAATGTGTGGTGTAAATGTTATGCAGAGAATTCTTAGTTTAAATTTGGAGGTGTGAAGTTACTAAAAGTAGTCAGAGGACTGAATATGGGTTGTTGAGGTGGTTTCGTCATATAGAGAGGGTGGAGCAAATTAGAATGACTTGGAGGGTATATAAATCTGTAGTGGAGGGGAGGAGAGGTGGGGGACGTCCTAGGAAAGGATGGAGGGAGGGGTAAAAGAGGTTTTGTGTGGAAGGAGGTTGGACATGCAGCAAGTATGTGTTAGTGTGTTAAATAGGAGTGAATGGAGATGAATGGTTTTTGGGATCTGACGAGCTGTTGAAGTGTGAGCAGGGTAATATTTTGTGAAGGGATTCAGGGAAACCGGTTAGTCGGACCTGAGTCCTGGAGGTGGGAAGTACAATGCTTGCACTTTCTCCCTTAACACTTATCCCCCCGAACTCTTTCCTTAACACTTACCCCCTGAACCCCTTCCTTAACATTTACTGCCTGAACCCCTCCCTTAACATTCACCCCCTGAACCCCTCCCTTAACACTCACCCCCTTGAACCCCTCTCTTAACACTCACCCCCTTGAACCCCTCCCTTAACACTCACCCCCCTGAACCCCTCCCTTAACACTTACCCCCTAAACCCCCCCCTTAACACTTACCCCCTGAACCCCTCCCTTAACACCCCCTGAACCCCTCCTTTAACACTCACCCCCCTTAACCCCTCCCTTAACCCTTTGAGGGTCGACAGGCCCTCTCCGAAACTCGTTCTCAGGGTCGGCCAAATTTAAAAAAAAAAAAAAATTATTTTCTCTTATGAAAAGATAGAGAATCTTTTCCCGATCATAACGACACCAAAAGTTTGAAATTTGATAGAAAACTTACGGAATTATGCTCTCGCAAAGTTAGCGGTCTCGGCGATGTTTACGGATCGGCGATTTTGCCCACTTTGAGCCCCATTTTCGGCCAATTTCACTGTACTAATCGACAAAAAACATGAATATTTCGCTAGAACTCCATTTTTTCTATCGAATGGGTGCAAGAAACCACCCATTTACAAATTCAACTATCCAGTACAGTGGTCAGAATTTAGCAATTTTGCCAATTTCACACAAATTTCAAAAGATGCCAATTTCGGAATAGGGTCCAGAATAAACAAGAAAGACATTCCTGGCACTAAAATGACATTTCCTCTAGTCATTAGTCACGTCTCAAGGCCCTTCTTATATTCTTTTGCTTTCCACTTTGAATTTTTATTCTCACAAAAAATATAAGATTTACTGTTATGCAGACTAGTGTATTAGTGTAAAAAATGGTATAAATATTATTGGTGCACTTGTGAAAGAATATTAGACTCACCAGTTGACGTGTATTGCACGCTTGGCACGATTTGTTTACTTTTGAAGTTTGGTAAAAATCGAACATTTCTGCTACTTTGAGCTCAATTTCAAGGCACCTTTCATTGTAAAACCAGTCAAAATCATCTCAATTTCAGTAATATGTCTTCCATTCTATAAAATGAGACCAAGAAAACTAGAATACAACAATAAATACTATACGAAAATACACTGCAAAGTCGCTGATTTATTAAAAAAAATGGAAAAAGTTTTTTTTTTCTCATTATGCACCGTGTGCTGCAGGATTTTTTTTAGACTGTGCACACTGACCACATAGACCCATTCTTTCATATGAAGGCCTACCAGCTTTCTCCCACTAGATTTGAGGTCGCTAGAATTTATGAGTACTAGTACGTCAAAAACCCCTATGCGTAAGACGTACTAGTACGACGAAAACCCTCAAAGGGTTAACACTCACCCCCCTTAACCCCTCCCTTAACACTCACCCCCCTGAACCCCTCCCTTAACACTTACCCCCTGAACCCCTCCCTTAATACCCCCTGAACCCCTTCTTTAACACTCACCCTCCTTAACCCCTCCCTTAACACTTATACCCTGAACCCCTTCATTAACATTTAATCTTCCTGAATTCCTTCCCTTATTAACTTTCTCCCTCCTTTCTTCATTCCTTATACAGCTACCAGACAGACTCTTACAGCTGACCCGTGATACCTATCTCATGTATGTCAGCCTGTTTATGTCAGCTTGACACTGTGAGCTTGACACTGTCAGCTTGGCATCTCACACTCGAATTTCTGTTCCTCTGATTTTTTGTGCCTCTTTTATTTTTTTAAATATAAAATACTACTTGATTATATAATGATTATATGTCTCACTTCATCTTGTGTTATTTTACTCTGTGCACTGTATAGTGTACGTTTATTCGGTAATACAGGATTTTATACATGACTTACGT